CTCCTGTTTTCTGATCACAGCCCACAGACTGCTGTCCTGCAGGGGCCCTTTCACTGAAGACCCCGTGACATCGAGCGTGGATGGGTCAGGACATGGCCCTGGGTGGTCAGCCGTCCTCCCAGCCATCCTTCCAGGAAAGCGTCGTCGCCCCCACTTTTCAGATGAAGACGTAACCTCCGCAAGGTGATGTGCCTGAGGTCCCTTGGCCAAAGAGCAGCAGGGCTACACTCAAGCCAGGGCCGAAGGACTCCCAGCTAGACGGCAGCCTGTCTGGTCCTGACTTTAGAGCCGAGGGCACGTCCGGCATCTGTGGCTGAGCTTGGGAGAGGAGTGGCTCGACTCTGCATCCAGGGGACGGCTTCTCTGACAATCCCCGGTGCACTTGTCCTCAGGCCTATGGTTTCAGTGAAAAGGAGCCTTAGCAACAGACACTGTGTGAGATCTCGGTGGGTTAGAGAACAGTGCGGCCACAGACGAACTCATGGTGGGCCTGGGTCTGGTGTTCCGGGATTCAGGCTCAGGGATGTTTTCTTCTTAGTCTCAAGCATTTCCCGATTTTCAAAGAAGCATTTCTCCACTTCACGTCCATTAGGATGGCTACTCTAACAAACAAACAAACAAACAAACAAAGAAAAAACAAAACCAGTAAACAACAAGTGTTGGCGAGGGTGTGAAGAAATTGGAGCCCTTGCACTGTTGGTGGGAGTGGAAACTGGTGCAGCCTCTGTGGAGGCAGTATGGAGAGTCCTCAAACAACTAAAGCTAGAATTATCACGTGACCCAGTACGCCTCTTCTGCGTATAGTCTCAGAAGAACTGAAACCAGGGTCTTGAAGAGATATTTGCACACCCATGTTCATAGCAGCGTTATTCACAACAGCCAAGAAGAGAAAGAAACCCACGTGTCCACTGGTACCCATGGATAAACGGAACGCAGTGCATTTGTGCAGTGGACTATGACTCAGCCTTAAAAAGGAAGGAAAGACTGACACAGGCTGCAACATAGAAGAAATCCGAGGACGTTATGTGCAGTGAAATAATCATTAAGAAAAAAGCCAAGTACTGTCCGCTTCTACGTATGCGAAGTTTCTGGAGGAGTCAGATCCATAGCGACAGAAAGGAGGGGGTGAGGGAGGAACTGGGGGAAGGGCAGGGGCGCTAGCGTTTAATGGGAACAGAGTGTCAGTTTGGGACGATAAAAACGTTCTGGAGATGGATGGTGTGGATATTGCACAATGGTGTGTAGGTACTTAATGCCGCTGAACTGTATGCTTAAAAACGGGTAAGATCGTACATTTTATGTATATTTTACCCCAGTTTTATAAAAGAGACATTTTGAGGGTGACTGTTGTTTGCGGGGGGCGGGGGGGTTCCCGTGAGCACGGGCGGTGTGCTCGGGAAGCCTCTGAGAGGTACGTGATGCATTTCCCAGTTCCCGTCAAGGCCACGGCCAAACATAGGGTCCGTTCACCACCCCGACCCTTAGATAAATCAAAATCGTTGCCTGAATTCTTGGCAGAAGTTATTATGAAAATATAGAGGAAAAGCTTTTCTCCATTAAATGTGAAAATTATATTTTCCTTTGTATTAGTGTTTCCCTAGAAGATTCTTTACGATACAATTTTAAGTTTGCCTCTGGATCTAGTCTTTCAAAGTGAATTAAAAAAAAAAACCTATTAAATAGTGGATAAAGTGAACTTTTAAACTTTAAATCTGCTTGATTTGTTTATGTGTTTATTCCACAGATTTATTAAGCGTCTACTGTGTGCCAGGCCCCGTGCAAGGAGCTGACGGGGAGGGGAGAGCAGACGTGAGGCCCACGGGAGGCCTTTGGACTGGGTTGAGTCAGGCGCTATGCTGGGGTCTGGCTGGGGCATGTCAGAGGTAGGTCCCAGAGGTGGACCTGAGTGGCGGGTAGGGATTCCCAGGACAGAGGCTGGAGTGTCCCAGACAGCACACCAACACCTGCAGGCTGTGTGCAGGGAGGGCTCAGTGGCCTCTGCTGGATTTTGGAAAGAAAAAGGCGTAGATGACCAGGATTTTGAAACAGGGATGGCATTACCTGAATAGGGATGCTGAGATTTGCAAGCCTCGCAGCCAAGGCTGGGTACCTGCTGTATTACAAGAAGCGAGTCACAAGGGAAAAGAAACCAAAATCTGCTACTGGTAGCAAAGTAGCTGTGGTTCTGAGGCCCATCATGTACTCTTTAATCACACTTTCATCTTGAGTCTTTTCCTTTTCTCAGAGAAAATAATTTGGAGAAGACGAGAACCTTGTCACTTTACGTCTTTAAAGAAGGCAACTGTCTGGGTGCAGAGCTGGCGTCTTTGACGGGAATGACGGGACAGGGTGACAAAAACATCCTCAGAGATGGGTGTTCAGAGGATCCTGAAGCTTCCACTACAAAACATTGTCCTTTTCACAGAATCCTTTGAAAATATGCAGAAAAGAATTACTAGAAAGAAAGAATAGTAATAAAGCTTTGACCTAGCAGAGCTGCTTGACACCCAGTTCACGAGGCTCATGGGACATCCAGTTCACGAGGCTCTGTGTTGAGGGTGTACTGGCGAAAAGCTGTGTCTGCAAAGGGCCCACAGACTGTTGGAGACGTAAACAAAGGTCAGGGAATAAACCTATTGCTTGGAAACAGCAAAGTAACACCCACTGAATATTGTCGTGTGCCAGGCTCTGTGCCCAACAGAGTTTTATGTATTATTTGGTCTCCACAATAATCCCGTACGGTCTGTTGTTATTATCCCCATTTTACGGAAGAGGAAAGTTCAGAGTGGTTCGGTGAATTGTCCCGGGTCACAAAGCAGGGAAGTGACTGAGCAGATGCTGACCCAAAGGCTCTGACCGTGGCCAGTAACCCAGGGACTCTCAGCCCTGGCTGCACAGTAATGGGATTAATGAGGGGACTTTGAACCTACCCATGTCTCCCAGACCAACCGAGTCAGGCTGCCCCGGGGTTAGCCGAGACATGGGGGTTTCTAGAGCTCCCGGATCCCACAGTGAGTCCAGGAGAAGGTCAGCAAGAGCCCGAGAGGCAGTAATGCTGTGAGGAGACCTCCCCGTTTCGCCAGCAGAGCCTCTGGCCGTAGCATTGTGGAGGGAGCCAGGCAGGACCGACCGTGCGCGGGAAGCATTCGTGCCCAGTGTTCGCCAGCAGGCCTGTCTAGACAACCACATGAGGTGGCTTTGCCCCACCTAAGGGCGCCTGATGTCTGTAGATGGGTACATGCTTTCAGGGTGTGGAATTTACTTGTGTAGGGAGTAAAGAATCTAAATGCCATCAGCAGGAGAATGGTTAAGAAGCAGTTTCTGGG